TGTGTGTGTGTGTGCGTGTGTGTGTGTGTGTGTGTGTGTGTGTGTGTGTGTGTGTGTGTGTCGGTCATCCTGCAGTCGCCTCCTATTCGGTAGCCTCACCCCCCACCCCCAGCTAAGCCAGACCCTCGATTAATCCCCTGCTCTCCATTGGACGGCTGTGCGTGCCTGTACCTGGTGCCGCCGTGCGCCAGGCACGCACACGCCTCTCCAAAGTGCTTTCATATTTCAGCAGGTGATGATATTTACCCGCAGTGTTGTGGTGAGGAGCGATGTCGTGCAACAGGGAGTGAATTGTGTTGTGTTTGAGGGACTGAGAGAGATGCCATCATCAAACACAACATTTGACGCCCTGTTTATAGTCACTGAGCTGGTAAATGATAGATGCTTGTATAATAAGCCCGGAGTGTTTTATTCAACACCCTCCTCCTCCTCCTCCCCCTCCTCCTCGCCCATCATACACTGTGCAGCTCCCCCAGACACACCGTGTTATCAGGAGGATGAATCATGTTGATAAGCTGAGAGCATTGCCTCGTGGGACAGGCGGTTCACGTCAGATTGGAACTCTATACATGGGACCAGCTCCCAGCACGTGCAGCCCCACTGCAGTCTGACACATGAGTAAGTCATCATCATCATCATCATCATCATCATCAACAACATCACCGTCACCATCATCATCATCATCATCATCATCATCATCATCATAACCATTGTCATCATCACCATCTTCATCATCATCATCATAACCATCACCATCATCATCATCATCATCATCATCATCATAACTGTTGTCATCATCACCATCCTCATCATCATCATCATCATAACCGTCACCATCATCATCAACAACAACATCATCACCGTCACCCTCATCATCATCATCATCATAACCATTGTCATCATCACCATCCTCATCATCACCATCATCATCACCATCATTATCACCATCATCATCACCATCATCGTTGTCATCATCATCATCATCATCATCGGTGGAGGGAAATCAGATCTTACAATATAGTTTTATAACTTGTGTGTGTGTGTGTGTGTGTGTGTGTGTGTGTTTGCAGCTGAGTCTAACTAAATGAACCTCTCCAAACCTTTTAGTGGTCAAGAAAAGACCCCCCCTCTGAGTTGTTGCCATGGTTTCTATGTGCACATCGGTCCTCAGTGAGCCGGAGCAGACACACACAGAGGCTTTAAAAAAAAAAAGAGAATGAGAGAGACGTTAAAGCAGATATTAGATATTGGAGTTACCATGACAGCTGCCTATTTGTAGCTGACATTTCTGTGGCATTTATCTCAATAAAAGCTTTTCAGTTGTCCTCAGCACACACAGGGAACTCTGGGTTATTGTGGTTAGCACTCAGTATATTGACTGTATTCGTTTATATATGTTTTGTCCTGAAGTTAAGAGATATCGAGGTTCAGTTGTATATCAAACATAACTTCCTTACAGTCAACCAATGATCATAATGTAAAGGTCATTCTACAGTTCAATAATAGTTACATTATAGCTTGTTTCATTGCAAAGGAAACCCATCTTTAATTGGTTCTTATGTGTGTCCAGTTATTCCAGAGGCTTAAACCTGTCAGAGTAGTCGCAGGTTGGAATACAACATGACTGAGGATGTGTCCCATGACTTTCTTCAAACCTCTCAACACAAATATTTCAGTCAATAATAATAAAAATAAAGATAATAATAGTAATAAACTTAATTTGTATAGCACCAGTGAGAACACTGTTACAAGGTGCTTCATGAAGGATAGGAATGGATAGATGTGGTCTATGAGATCTACATTATGAAAAAGTTGTCTTTCTCCCTCAAATTGCATAAAGATAAGTTCTATCAGATCTTGTCAAAATGGACTGAGTGTTTAAAAGCTGTTCGATTGGACTTCATATGATTCGGTAATGATATTGTGCCTCAGTGTCCTTCCGCCATTTGTTTTATTTCATTTTCTTTAGTTTTATCTATGGGTCTCTAACTCATACATCTCTCCCTCACTCCTATGTGGGAGTGAGGTCAAATGAAGGCTGCTGTACGTTGTTAAAGATTAACAGTATGGGGTGTATTTTATTATTTAAAGTTATTTTAAAGGGCCTGTGAAAGAAAAGAATAGGATGGGATGTGAGAAATGAAAGTATTTCACAATTGATCAAAGCAGTGGAGACTTTGAAATGATTTATAGCGGCATTAAAAGGAAAATGAGTAAGTGCGTGTAAGATAAGTATGAAACTTCACATTACAGAAAATGTGCTTTATTGGATTAATTGAACAACTTGCAATAAAATAAATTAATCTACACAAGCAGCATTCAGGTTCATGGGTTGTTAATATTGCATAGCAGCACTCAACATGCTCTGCATCTTTCCTGCTTCATTCTAAATTTGGACCAAAGTGCTTGTTTTCGACATAATTGCTCGACTGCACCACCGGCCCCTGTCGCTTGGCTGTTTATTGCACAAGGGAGAGTTTACTTTTATTTGGTGCGTCACCTGGTTAAGGGCAGTGTCCTGCTTGTGTGACTGAATTCAAGCTGTGGGACTCAAATATACAGTTCACCATAATGAATTGATTTTTATTCTCAGTGTGGGGAGACCAGTTTTAACACTGCGGGCCTCATTTATGAAGAATTAGGTTCGGGTAAGGGTAAGGCATTTAGTTGTGATTGTTAAGGTTAGGGCAAGGGCCTCGACACACATACACACACACACACACTCTGCTTGTTATTTTAAAAATCCCCCTTAATCTCATTGTTCATGTTGTAAACTTGTCCTGAGAAATGAACGAGCGTAATGAAAATCAAAGGGATCCATTCTTCACTGTCTCACTATGAGGGTAGCCAGCGATATCACACCTATACCTCCCACTGTATACATTAAGGAATGTGTCACCTTCTGGACTGCCGGATTAATCTCAACCACTGTGGACAACGCGAGGAACAATTTAATGCAGGCGGTGCCTTAAAGAGCTCGGTTTTAATGAATAAATTAGTCGAGTGGCGGAGTGGGAGACCTTTCAAAATGAGTGGGGGGGTGGGGTTGGGCGAGTTCACATTAAAGCCTCAATCATGAATTCAGTTTAATACTTTCCAGCAGGATCCAGAGAGGACGGGGTTAAAAACGCCAGAAATAACTTCACTTCGTGTGAGACAATGTTAATTGCTCAGTGTTCAGAGTCCAGTGAAAGAAGGTTGTTAGTAATGAGAAGGCAGAGAGACGACAGGGTTTTAATAAGTTCAGGTGGACACAGACAGGTTAAAGTTCTACTGTTCTTCCCCCTGATGACTCCCAGGTACTTACAGTGTAAGATTGGAACATTACATTCGATGACATCACTCCTAAGTTTACAAATCAGAGACTGTTTTTCCCGGGAAACTATACTATAATGTACTATAATGTTATATGATATTGTCCTGTCCATTTATTGTCAAGTGTCATTGTGCCATGTCACCGCTGATTCAACGCTGTACTGAAAAATAATTCCACCGACCATTCTGATTCTGATTCTGAACATTGTAGAAGGTCCCCTTGTATTTTTTCAATCTCAGTTGACAGAAGACCTTCTCTCCACTTCTTCATTTCTTTTTTGATGTCAGATGAAAAGAATAGATGAGACAACTGCTCAAGGTCAAAGGAACATATATGAATATTTGCATTGACATTCGATACACAGACCGCCAGGAGAAGGGAGACGGTGACAGCTGGGCTCTTGGAGCGGGCAGGAGCACATGCAGCGCTGCATACTGATCAGGGATGATGAGCTGTCTTGTTTGGGGTGGGGTGGGGGGGGGGCCTAACAGAAGACTCACACGAGGCGGGCCCTGACTCGAGGTGCCAGGTGTTACAGCTGTGTGAAACGTAATGAAGATGAGTCTTTTACTGTCCAGTGAAAGGTTTATGTGACTGTGCCCGGAGTTCATTTAGCTGAGAGATGCATCTTCGTGCACGCACTGTGGGATTCCACAATTGGTCCAATTCTTCATAAGTGGCCGTTCTCTTGAAGCTAATCAGATTCCATCCCTTAATGCTTACCAGTGGAGACGTAGAGTCTAAAGACAGCACTGGTCGGCCATATTTCAGCCCACATTGCGTAGGCCAGCAGTATCCTTCAGTACTTTTTTACTGCACCAGCGCACATATAATTAGATTTCCCCGTAGTTACCGGTGCCCTTGGCTCATCATTGAGCACAACCATAGTAGTCAATTACCAGATACAATTGGAGCGTGTGCTGGGCTTCTTGCTACCTCAAATGGCTTTAAGGCTCCCTTACAGTAGATGCACATAGAGAGTCATACATCAGGGGAATCAATCTAGTAGATGGTTTCCTAAAAACCTCCCAATCAGCCCAAAGAAAGGTGGCAGGCCTCCAGAAAGTGTACGCTCAGATTTCTTTCACATCTGGCTTCATCACAGAAAATACCCTTAATACACAAAAGGTCATTTTAGTAAATGTATGAATGTAGACGTCCCGCCCTCTTTCTTGTCTCCATCGTTTTCCTGAGTTTTATGTTCAGCATGTGGTTGGTGTTTGATCAGGAAACATTAACATACTGCAGAGTCAAGGACACTTGTGTCAGCAGTAACATCCGTGGAGTCGCCGAAGAAGCTTTACATTTTCAGCATTTGACACAAACACTGACACAGGCCTGATCCCGACCGCTTCAATCAATCTCCAGCAGAACTCAGGAGACCGGCAGCCGTGTTTATTACATATTGATTTCCCTGTGAGTTCATGTACAGTGCAGAAGTCTGGCCCAGTGACTCAATACTATGGAAATGATGTGTACTTTAGAATGGAACACTTTCAGTATATATCGCTTCATAAAATACATGTTTTTTGTGGTTGCGTCAGTGGTAGAGCAGTTTATAAAATAAATTTTTTCCTGTTGTAGGTGGAT